TTACTCTTCATCTTTCTAAAGAAAGAGAAAAAAACAGAACCACCAAAACTCAAATTTAAAAAATGGTTGCAGTTAGATATTGCTCATTGACTACACTCCAACTGCCAGTCCATGGTATGTTCTTTTTGGCCACCACCACCCCCATGGGAGCACAGTACATCACACCTTCGGTGCTGCTGCACCAACACTGCAGAACCGCGACTGTAGCCCCAAAATTGGAGCCCATGCAGAAACACACACCCAAACTGGTTCTAAATAAAACAGTGGAACCCACGCCTCCATTCCGCCCTGCAGAATTGCCCAGGCCAATCCCATCTGCCGCGGGGGGGGGGGGGGGGGGGGGGGGGGGGGGTGTCTGGTGAGGCCAACCCCACCTGCCACCTCCTTCCTGGCCAGCAAGGACGGTAAACCATCAGGCTGGGTGCCACAGAGAAGCATGTTCATGACAGCCACGGGGCGGGGGGGGTATCCACAGCGAAGCATGTCCATGACAGCCACAGGGTGGGGGGGTGGGGGTATTAAAAGCCCAGACTGGTTGACGCCCTGGACGGTGTTTTCCGGTCATAACTCCAAGGGAAATATTAGAGCAGTTCTAGTCATTTTCATGTGGTGCTTCACACATGGAAGGAAGCGGGACGCCAATTCAGAGTCACCAGCAGAACAGGCCGTGCAAACAAGGGGGAGCATCAAGTCCCGCCCACTCAACTGTTTGCTAAGCTTTTATTGATGTAATATAAGCCATTACAATTCTATTATTTGTGGGTAATTTTTTTGTGATTTTTAATAACTACATTCTTAATGGTGCCAACAGTTACCCCCATGCACCCATCAAGATAGCTCACACATTCTCCTCTCTGTTTCCCCACATAAACGTCCTACCACCTGCAACACTGTTGGCAGAGAAAAAAAACCCCCAGCTTTCTAATAACGGGGCACCAAAGACAACGCCTCACCAGAGGCCCCACTTTGTCCGCCCGCATCCAGACTCCTCGGAGCGCCGACGGGGGCCAGAACCTCGCTCCGTCCTGCAGTGACAGTGGAGGGGCTTGACCACACGATAGCTAGCCGAAAGCGGACAGCCGCTGAACCGTGATCATGCTCAAAAACAGACTTCCCGGCTTACATTAAAAAAAAACCACAGAAGCTTCCACTGAACTGCATGCAGCCCTATTTCAGTGCATATCTTTGCATTACCCAGTTTCTTTTCTATATTTTAAATTTTCTTTTATTGGCCAGTTCCAATGTCAGAGAGAAACACACAGACCTGAGGCCTAACAAAACATCCTTTAAACATTTGTTCGGTACAAAAACACTATGGCAGATGCATTGGGACTAGTTAGTGAATGTAGGGGTCACGTAAGAAGGTAAAACAAAACACACACACACACACACACACACACACATTCACTAATTTCAGAGGCTCTGAAAGGTAAGGCCACTGCCTTTGGATCTTATCAATCCCCTAAAGCAGGCACCTGGAGTAAAGCAATTCGAAAAGCAATTAAACACTCCTGCTTTCGGTAACACTTCTACAGCGATGCCAATAATGATCGACTAAGTCTGGCTTACTTATGCTTTACAGTGATATAAATGGACTCGGTGGAGAATTAATGCCGCCTTCATTCATCGGCCGAGATTAAGCTTTTACGTCCCACATCAGTCAAATCACATGTCAGTCAGTCACATCAGTCGGCTCCGAATGCGGCTTGCGGCGTCTGACCCACGACAGCCGGCATTATTTAACCCCAAACGGAGGAGTTTCTGCAACTAACCTGCCTTAGGGTACAGGGTTTTTTTTCTGTATGATAAGTAAATGCAGAACTAGCGCCGTAACTGCAGCACGCTGCACAAGGAACAGGGGTTCAACTCTACCGCAGACAAAAATATATTAACATCCATTTGCCCACTTTGATATCCGGCCTAGAATCTGAAACATCTTAGTAAGTGTCTGTGCAACAAACAGATTAAGACCAGATAAGCTCATCTGAGACAAAAAAAAACGGGGGATCTCCCGACATTCGTATGCATGCGACCAGTTCGGGGTGCATTTTCAATATCCTACCTAGCGCTTCTCTTCCCATCTCAGTCGAGACACGACAGAAATCTCTAACCGTAAAACAATGAAACAGTGGGATAATTCACATGCAGTTACAATACACCACGATCAAAAAGCACGTGTTCGTTCTAAGCGACATTATATTCAGTCCAGAAAGAGAAGGAAAATGCTGACGATCATTTAGCAGGTTGCATTTCCATTAAGTGATTGTTAAAAACTTTAACGGGATCGTCGCACTGTTCCAGCCATCGCGCTCACTAATAATTGCACAAAAACGATCACCAGCCCCATCGCCACCTGCACTGGCACTAGCGCCGCTTTTTGCAAACTTGGCTCAGACTGGAACTCTACAAACCGCCGGAAAACGAAAGGATTTAGTTCACCTGCGCATATTTCCATACAAGGCGGAGCAGAAGGACATCCAAGCCCGTCCACCTGTCCCGTCTCCCGGCCGCGATACGTACAGAACGCTGCGCTCCCCTCTTTCATCTGGGAATGTTACGAGGCCCCGCGAGGCCACGCCCACGCCGCTCCTCATTGGATGGATCTGAAGACATCGGCGCGCTCAGTATTCAAATCCGGCTCCGATCCAGATTTTCAATTCGACTAGTAAGAATAGCTGTGCGGTGTAATTACAGTCTTTTTAAACTTGGATTACGAATTTTTATTACTGGTTTACGGGTCTTTAAGGAGTGTAATCACCTCAAAATAACAGCATCCCCATTATACGACTTATTTCAGAATCTCTGCATCTCAAAAGGAAAGTTTATATTTGTATGCTAAGTTCTGTTAGGGAAATATTAGCAACTGTAACTATGTCACGTTCCTCTTGATTTTAAGTGCCAGATACGAGTTACATGGAGAATGCTCTAGGTATGCACACACCTTAATTTTTGATAACAGTGCAAGTATCCAGAATAAATTAATTAGCATTTGGTAGTATTTGTTTTTGGATTAACTGACAAGTCTATGGATTTTAGTCTCCTATTCTCTTAAAAATAATACTTTCTGCACCTCTGACATTGCCTTAGTGTTCCGCTAAATTATGATTAATCTAAGTCATTCAGCTATTCAGCTGAATAACGGGAATATGAGATCAAAAAAGAGGAACGATGGACCTGAATCACGGAGCTGGATTTTTGGGTTAGCGAGATAACGTGTCGGATTTAAGGTAGTCTGGGCTACATGTAAGTGAATGAAGCAATTTAAACTGGGGTACCTTAAATCTGGCAAGTTATCTCGCTAACTGACAAATCTCATTTTGTGATACAGGTCCATTGTCCATCCATCTGTCGTCCTTCAAGCCACATACCCAGTACAGTGTCACAGTAGATTACTAGGCAACCGGGAGCAGTTCTAAGATTTGAGCCTTTGGGGGGGGGGGGGGGTAAGCTCCTAAAGAAATATGGAACAGCCCCCCCAGCTTCCCCAGGAAAAAACTTGAACAAGGGGTAAATTCAGGATGAATTGCTAAATGGTTTTAGAAAAATAATTTATATGCACAGGTTAACTGGGTCTACATTCTAACTGCAAGGCCTCATGCAGGCACTAATTGGGGCTGTAGCCCGACCACAGGGCCGGACTCGTGCACAGGCTAATCAGGCTGTAGCCCAGGGCCCCCAGTTGTAGGGCTCCAACGACTTTAGCCCAGGGACCACCGCCCCCTAATTTCGGCCATGTCTAACCGCTTTTCCTGGTTAGGGTGTATAAAGACATTTAAAAATGTAACTCAGAAATGTACCCCAAATCCCAGAATTCACCTGTGAGAACAGTGGTAATCCAAAAAAACCAAAGGACACCCAGCATACATTAGTGCTGTAGTTCTCGAGACCAATTTTTTGTGGTCTCGGTTTTGTCTTGGTCTCGACTCTATTTGGTCTCGACTCCATTTGGTCTCGGTCTTGTCTTGGTGTCGGATATAGCGGTCTCGATGGGATGGGGACAAAAAGAGAAAACAGCACATCCTCACAGAACAGTATCATTATTATGCGCCTCAATTCAAATGCAACCAGTCAGATGCATCTATTTTAAAAACGTTACATTTTATACATTTTCTCAACGGACACTGCCAGTGCTTCACAGTCCATACACATCATACACATCGCATCATAGCGTGAAGTCTATAGCATAGTTATAATTCAAATTAATTAGGTATTTTACATTCATTAGAAAGCACGGTCATGGAGGTGCAAGTCAATCTGGAGGCTCATTCTCTTCAATTCAAAGCAAAGGATCATTACATAGCTGTATTCATAGCTTACTTGAGGTCTCTGTCCCTGGTATAAGAGACTTAATATGAACATCTTTCTGGTACATTCCATCTCTTTCCCTTGACGACGTCTGATAAAATGGTTATAGGAGAGGATTGCTGAGAATATTATTTTCAATCAGGCCTCGTAACTATGACAAATCTGGGAGATTTTAAATGAGAGACATATTGACATATGGACAATATAATTGAAAAGATAACATGAATTTGATTTAACGAGTAATGACACTTTACAGCAATGCCTTTACAGTTGATCTGAGTAATGTGATGTCGATTCTAGCGCTAGTCTGTTTTCGGTCTTGGTCTTGGACTTGGTCTTGGTCTTGGTACCCTCAAGTCTCGGCAGTGTCTTGGTCTTGATACCCTCCGGTCTCGGGAATGTCTTGGTCTCGGTGTAGGCGGTCTTGACTACAACACTAGCATAAATACAGGAACCCCTAGACTGGGAATGAGGGCCAGTTTCAGTACCATCCCTTAAGAGTTATTGATAGGGTAAATATTCAGAGATTCATAAAGCACACCTCTTTCCTTAAGCATCGTATTTCATCATTGATTCAGCATCATTTGGAAAGATAAAATCAGACCAGCAAGAAGGAATTTAATGTGCTTTCTATATTACCTGTGGTCAATGCAATGCCCAGAAATGAAATATTTTCAGCAATTCACTTCACAAAAGATTTTTCAAAACTTTTACTGGCAAATACAGTTTATATTTAAATTGAGAAATCTATATGTTCAGAGCACAGCAGCCTGAAGATCTGTTTCTGTTACTAAACCAAAACCAGTTTCCTCGATACCATCAGTGCAGACTGTTTGTATCTCATCACTGAAAGGAAGGGGGGGAGCAATCGGTTAGTCTCTTCCTGTGCAACTTATTAGCATGCAGGTCGAGGACCCAGAAATCCTACAAGACCTACATGGGAGACCTGTAACCTTCTGGTAACGTGCTTCCCGCTGCAGCCGCTGCTGTTTTTTTTTTTAAATCATCTAGTAAGAGGATTGTGCTCTCAGTTAAGCAAGACAATGAAACAATTAAAAGCAGAAGCGGATCAACTTATCTGCTGGTACTTAGAAAGTGGACTTGCCCCCCTCCTTTTCAGACTCACAGCCGTACAGACCAAGCCGGGGCAGCTGCCAGTGAATGACTGGAAGGAAGCTGAATTAGTCCATTTAACTCCACCTGAAATAGTCTCACACGTCCTCTTTGCAACTGTAATGACACCATTGTGCGCACCAGTCGACGGTATCCGTTTTGCTACGGAGCCAAATGCTTTCCAGAATCAAATTAATTGCCATCTTCCCTAGCTGTCAAAAGACCCGACCGATGAACTAGCTAGATTTAGTCTTTTAGAAAGTCCCGCAAAAGGGTGTCGCTGTGTTCCTGATCTTGCAGACCCCTGAGTTGATGGAAATCGAGCCCAAAACGGCCAACGGTATAAATCTGAGGTCTTTATTAAGACAAAAAAGCTCCAACATCCAAACAGACGGACAGCTCTTTTTTTTTTTTTTAAAGTTCTGGTTCTGGTCTGTTGCCAATGTTCAGCTTTCATTTGATGGCAAGGAATCACAACAACATTGACGATACAAAAATAATGTAGGATGTTGAGAAAATTTTACACCCAAGACGACCTCTGGCGTGACATTTTTCTACATGTATCCTAATAGTTACAAAAATGGTAAAATGTATCTAAAATAAGATTAAAATGTTCAAAATGTTCCAAAAGGTTGTTCCAAAAAGTCTTAAAATGTCAAAATCTCCATTTCCCTTGCTTTAGGAGCTTGGCACAATGTAAATAAACACCTGCAAATCTGGACCAATCAGGAACAATGAAAATAAACACCTGCAAATCTGGACCAATCAGGAGGAAGCTTTTCCTGCTGCTCCCTTTGCTGATTGGCAACAGATGCAGCAACAGAGCAATTTGCATCATCCCATCCTCTCCAAAAACACGCTGTAAAAACAGTACTCAAAACGGTCCAAAATGTCCAGGTAAAACCCTATATGTGCTACTCAATTGTTTGTCCAAAGGAACACATTCTGAAGGGCAGTTTCCTGTATGATGTCTATCAGACTGTAGTACAAGAGGAATTTGGAATTGAACACATGACCAGAGGAACGTACGGCAAATCTTTTCAGCAGGGTCTCCCAATTCCAGTCCTGGATGACCAGTCTGTGACACAGCTTGCGGATTTCCCTGCTCAAGCACACTTACTAAACCTGGAAATTAGCTGGTGAGCTGGATAAGGTGTGTTTCGAGCAGGGAAATCTGCAAACTCACCGGAATGGGACAGTCCTGCTTTTGAGTCAGAGCTAGATGTCAGCTTACCGTAACAATCATAATACCCACCACAAGAGGGCACAAGTGTAGCAATTGTAAGAAAGACAAGGAGTGACGGCACATTACCAGTCAGACCACAGCATATGGGTTGATCTGTGGACTCGTTCACAATGGCACAGTGTATCACATATTACAAAGGCATCTATCTATGAGACTCAGACTGCAGACAAGGAGTCACCATCACTGTCGCTTGCCGGAGAGGGGAGGTCCCTGCCTTTGGGTGTATCTGACTCCCCAGGGGAGTCAAGCGCTGGTTCTATGTGGTCGGTGCCCACGGGGGGGGCAGGGGACTGGTCGGGGTGGCTCTTGCTCCGGTGTGCGGTCACGTTGTCCCTCTTCTCAAATCGCCGGCCGCAGATCTCACACGGGAACTGGTACCCACTCTCGGCGTTGTGCTTGCGCATGTGCCAGTTCAGGGAGGCCTTCTGGCGGCAGGTGAATCCACAGACTTCACACCTGGGGGCAGGGAGTCATGCACACCCTGCATTACTTTAAATCAGCACTAACTGTCAGCGTCGCTAACAATTAGCTATCCGCTAACCGCTAACATCGCTATCCGTTAGCGGCGCTAATGATCTAGGCATGGTCCTGCTTCCTTGATGCTTCCACGAGCTCACACGCCCGATGCAGCACCCGCGCCAACGTCGCCAACATGCAACTCACTGCAGCGGCTTCTCGCCAGTGTGGATCCTGCGGTGGATGATCAGGTTGCTGCTGGTCCGGAAGGCGCGGGCACAGAACTCGCAGATGTAGTCCCGCCAGTCTCCCCGGAGCAAACGGCACACGGCGCTGTTACCCTCCACACCCTCAGCTCTCACTACAAACTCACTCAACTTTAAGGCACAACTTCAGAGCTGCAGATAAAGTTTGTTTTTTTATGATATTATCGTTACATGCACCCCTAACTTGCGTGTCACATATACTGAAGTCATTAAATACATCAATAAGTTTGAAAAAATTACAGCTGCTAAAATTGAAGAATAAGGATGGGCTATGTCGCCAGTTATACTGGAGCGGGGTTGCGGTTCCTTGTTGCCATGGTAACGGGATGCATGCCGTTTGCTGCTGCACTGACATGGAGGCGGTGGGCGGAGGGTTACTCACTGCTGTGCAGCTTCTCGTGCTCCTTCAGGTGCTTCTTGAAGTTGAAGGACTTTCCACAGGGTGGGTGGGAGCAAGTGAACGTCTTCTGCTGGAAGTGCTGGTACTTCATGTGATGCTGTGCAACAGAAGGGGCGGAGTTACCGCGCCGCGCCGGAGGAATGCCTGTCGGCGACGGGGAGGCCGCCGGTGTCCTACTCACATTGAGGTACTGGCGAGTGGAGAAGATCTTGTCGCAGCCATCGACCTCACAGGGCAAAATGTCCCTGGGTGTCGCCTTCCTGGAATCGGATTCAGGACAGCGGCTGCAGTTACGGGTTCTCTTAAAAATGCCCCACACCCACCAACCATGTGGGCACACAGAGAAGAAACTGCACACACGTCAGCTATCAGATGTTCTGTATAATCACAACGCCCGCCTACAGAAGATCGACAATATGCGCAGCATCGTCTCAGGCAGAAGGTGCGGGTGGTGAATTTGGCAAGAGGCAGAATGAAGAGAAGGTCCAAGAAGAGACAGAATTAGGGGCCTTGCAGAATGAGTAACAGTATGTTCTTACAATTTTCCTATAATGTGCATATAGTTATTTTTTTAGGGTAATGGTTTGCGCAGTGGAACTCCCCGTACTACAATTTACTTTTGGTTTAGTCTACTATCGTTTTTGTTTTGTGAATAGTAAGAATGTGTTCTAAGGTGAGAGCGATATAGTCTTGGCCCAGGAGTCACTGGTGCTATGAGCCCAGTAGTCACTGGTGCTGAGCCCTAGAGTCACTGCTGCTATGAGTCCTGGAGTCACTGCTGCTATGAGCCCTGGAGTCACTGCTGCTATGAGCCCAGGAGTCACTGCTGCTATGAGCCCTGTAGTCACTGCTGCTTGCTGCTATGAGCCCAGGAGTCACTGCTGCTATGAGCCCTGTAGTCACTGCTGCTTGCTGCTATGAGCCCAGGAGTCACTGCTGCTATGAGCCCAGGAGTCACTACCAAGCAGCACTTATAAGCAGCCTAAGACACATTAAGACACGGCATGGTACAAATCAGTGGAATGTGAATCTCTTTCCACGGAAGTCACAGTAAAACACAACCATCTGTTTGGAGGTTTCAGATAATGAGAACGTTCCGACCTTTTTCTTTTGCCAGCAATCTGAGAAATGTCATCGCTGGTTATCCCTCTCGCTGTGTTCCTAAGGAAATACATGAGATAACAAGAGATGATTGGCATTTTGCTACTGATGATGCACCTGTGTCTGGCTTGTTTGTCCACATCCACTTACTTTATTCAGATACATTCAAAACAACAAACATTCTACTCAAGGTACAAAAAGGGGGCACCTGTTGTCCCTCGTGATTAACCTGAAATTCGCTTTTTCCGTCGAGGGCTGAATCATTGTCTTCTGTCTCCCTCTTGTGGTAGGTTTTGGTATGGCAGTTGACTCCCTGAAGGGGAAGCAATTAATTGACACCGACAATCACAAACTGGTATTAATCATCGCACACAGGAAGTTATAAAAATACTTTTCCACGACGTTGCTGTAGTGCTTGTGCTTGGCATCGTGCAGGTCTTTCTCTTCACCGTCAGTGGGCTTCCTAGAACAGAAAGTGGGAACAGACACCAGTGAATCTGAAAGACTTAAAAAAAATTAAATAAACAAACACATATATGAGAAACACTTAGTTATTAAGAAAACCAGCGTACCATGTCTCCTGTGTTTGTACAGATTCTGTTGGTGGGACGTTTTGTCCTGTCTCTGATTCTGACACTGGTTTTGACCCTGTCCAAGGAAAATGCACAAAATTATCATGCCATCCCATCCCATTCCATCCATCAATCCATCCATCGTCTGGAACCAATCACAACAAGCACAGCACAAGACACAGTGCATGCCAGTCCATCACAGGACATGGACACACACAGCGTAATGGGCAATTTGGAGACACCAACTAGATTAATTGCATCTCTTCGGACTGTGGCATGAGTATCTGTGGGAAACTTGTGTGACATAGAACAAACTCCACACACACAGGGTGGGGTGGATTTTGAACCCTTAACTCTGAAAGTGGGTGAAAAGTGCCCTCCCCCAGAGTCATGGGGGCACCCAATAATGTTATACATTACATTCAAGTGTATGAGGAATAAGGACTGAGACATGGAGGAGACTAAATGCAGAAAACACAAAGACAGAGACGGACCTGTTCTGCGCTCCTCTGTCTCTGTGGTTCCGTCACCATCCTCCGGCCGGTTCCCCGCTTCTCTAATTTCCTCGATGCTGCCATCTTCAGTGTCTCTGGTTTCCACCCCAGCGGCTTCCCTGCTTGCTTCTTTAACTTCCCTGCTTGCTTCTTTAACTTCCCTGCTCTGCAGCTCTGTGTACCTGCTCAGGCCTGCGGGGGGGGCAGCGTCCCTTGTGACATCACTCCCACTTCCCTCTCCAGCTTCCTCGCTGGTGCTCCCAGATGGACACCAAGAGAAGACATGCCCCCCCCGGCAGGTGCAGCTCAGGACAACACCTGTCCGAGACTCTGCTTCTGTCTGCTCCTCCTCCCTCACCAGGCAGGAGGAACATCCTCCTTCTCCATGACCGGCTGACCCTTGAGCACCAAGTTCAGCCTCTCCAGCTCCCCTACACCTCTTCACTGCCCACTTCTCTTCATCTGGCTGTTTATCCCCTTCCTGTCCCCCACAGGTGTCCTCATCCGTGGTGCCCCGGCAGACGGTGGGCGGGAAAGGACACTGCTGCCCGTGTCGATGTACCAGCAGCACCAGGCCCTGCAGCATCTCTGTCGACGTCACTATGGTCGCCGTTCTCTGCTCGAAGCTCATGCCACCTGGAAGAAAAGTGCCAAAGCAGACTCTCACCTAAACACCGCTTGCTGTGAACCGTGCGGAACAGCACAAAGACCTGGATCAGCAACATGGATCAGCAACATAGATCAGCAACATGGTGTCAACGTGCAATTAAAAAGCAAGACACCAAACAGTGCCAATGTGAGCTCATTTACCTGAGCACTTGATGCAGACCTTGGAGAAATAGCTAAGGGAGACAGAGCAGGTTATTACTAAAGAGCAAAACCTGTAATCAAGGCAAAACTTAATTCAACTCAAAATGGAAACTTACTGTTCATCTACTGTTTTGCAACCAAGGATGTGGTTCCAAATAAAACTCGGCAATTGTGCAACTAGCAAAAAATATTATTAAACTGTGAAAAAATCCTAGTTTCCCACAACACCATAACTTCCTCATTTCTTATTGTAATCTGTGAGACACACATCGGTAAGGTCATACTACAGTCTAAGATATCTACGGATCTTATACAAACATTCTACTTGTCGATTTAGCAGACTTCCCTTTAAGAGTATAAGAGCGGGTCATGAAACTGAGCCCGGGTGCCAGACTGTACTTTTGTATAATATTTTGTGTAGTATATTTGTAAGTCGCTTTGGACATACGGCAGACTGTCCGGAATGGGGCAGGTAGTGTTACTGTACCTCTCAAGCAGGTATTGAGCCAGTTCCGAGTGCAGGGCAAAGCCCAGTCTGTCCTTCAGCTGTCCCCAGCTCTGCAGGCACCCCCCCAGGCGCACCCGCGACTTGCTCCGCCGAGCGTCCAACTCTCTCCTGCGCTGGCGCCGCAGCGCGTCCCGGGACAACATGACCGCAGTTCGGCTGCCCTCTAAACAAGCACCGGGCAGGTTTGTAAAGACCTAGCCTAAATAAAGTACATCAATCCAGCCATCCTTTTATTTTCCATAGCCACTTATTCAGTACTAGTTTTGCAATGGAATTAATTACAATCATCTTTAAAACTGGAAAGGTTAAATGTCCTAAACTATTATATACTGCAAAGTTGCGCTTTAATATTTTTCAATTAGTTTGTTGCTATTATGAAAACCTCTTTTTTTTAGTGATCAGTGTTGACACACCACAGCACACAACAACGAAATGCGTCCTCTGCACTTAACCCATATGTGACGTCGTGACATAGCAGGGGGCAGCTAATTCAGCGCCCGGGGAGCAGTGCTTGGGGGCGGTACCTTGCTCATGGTACCTCAGTGGTGCCTTGCTGGTCGGGGATTCGAACCTGCAATCTTTCAATTACAAGTGCGCTTCCCTAACCATTAAGACACCACTGCCTGATAAGTCGTTAATGAATTTTGATTAGGTAACTTTAGCAGCTCAACGGCCTGAAAACGTGAAACGCGTATCTTAGTCTAATATCTTACTCCATCTATCCATTCATTTTCTGTAACCACTTATCCTATTCAATGTCGCGGGGTGGGTCCAGAGCCTATCCTGGAGGCTACGGACGCAAGGCAGGGAACAACCCAGGATAGGGCTCCAACCCATCGTAGATGTCTCATTGAAAGTCCGTCTCACCCAGATGTAAAGAAGTAATAGTTTTCTTGATGAGGTTTTATGACAGCAGTCTACGGATGCATCCCTTCAGGGTCGCGAACCCATGCCGGGACGCACGACGTACGGAAGGGCACCCTTTGGAAGGAACAGGGACACTCCGCAAGGAGCGCAACTCAGTCACAAACGCGATTTAATCACCTGTTTGAATCCGTTTGTAAATACCGATCCTTGAATTTAACAGTTCAATCAACAACTCATATTTTAATAAAAACTTTGAAATAATTCTATCCTGCACGTTTCAGTGACGTCTGATTGACAATGTACAGCTGGTTATAGAAAGATGCATGCATACGGGCACATGAATATAGCCTAAATTCCGACATTTGTAAATAAATCCTTATATCTGTTGGACACTGTAGTTGTTTTCTACATGTATTTCAGCAGAACATAAAAACGTACAGGATACTGCAACATGGGGTTACCCTAACTGACTTTACCTTGTTGATTACTAGCGGGTCCCACCCGCCATAACCCAGTTGCCCTTTTAAGTTCGGCGGCTGAACTGAAATACGTGCAAATCCTGGAAATCCGTGTTCAGGACCTGTCCGATAGCAAAGGACATTCACGGTGCCTCGAAAAGGAGAAGAAAGTCGTTCCGATATATTTAACCTGTAATCAACTGATGATTAATGCGTTTAATGACGGAAAAACCATTTAATGAAGCCCTACACAGGAACTAAGGCATGACAGGAAGTGGAAAGGGTTTTGCTTTTTACCAAGCGCTTCCTCGTCGGTAAAGCCTTATGGGAAATGTAGTTTTTTTTAAAAGGAATGACGAAACGTGCAACGCGTAAAAGTCGCTTACACACACACACACATACACACACACACTATATTGCCAAAAGTATTGGGACACATGAACTTCAATGACATCCAGGCTTACATAGGCTCTAATATGGAGCTGGCCCACCCTTTGCAGGTATGACAGCTTCAGCTCTTCTGGGAAGGCTGTCCACAAGGTTTAGGAGTGTTTATGATAATTTTTGACCATTCTTCCATGAGAGCATTTGTGAGGTCAGGAACTGATGTTGGACGAGAAGGCCTGGCTTACAGTCTCCGCTCTAATTAATCCCAAAGGTGTTCTGTCGGGTTGAGGTCATGGCTCAGTGCAGGCCAGTCAAGCTCCTCCACACCAGACTCACTCATCCATGTCCTTGATTTGCTTTGTGCACTGGTGGGCAGTCATGTTGGGACAGGAAGGGACCGTCCCCAAACTGTTCCCACAAAGTTGGGAGCATGAAATTGTTCAAAATGGCTTTGAATGCTACAGCATTAATAGTTCCTTTCACTGGATCTAAGGGGCCAAGCCCAACCCCTGAAAACCAGTCCCACACCATAATCCCCCCTCTACCAAACTTTACACTTGGCACAATGCAGTCAGGCAGGTACCGTTCTCCTGGCAACTGCCAAACACAGACTCGTCCATTGGATTGCCAGACAGAGAAGCGTGATTGGTCACTCCAGAGAACACATCTCCACTGTTTTAGATTCCAGTGGCAGTGTGCTTTACAGCACTGCATCCAACGCTTTGCACTGCACTTGGTGATGTAAGGCTTGGATGCAGCTGCTCGGCCATGGAAACCCTTTCCATGAAGTTCTCTACGCACTGATCTTGAGCTAATCTGAAGGCCACATGAAGTTTGGAGGTCTGTAGCTACTGCGTCTGCAGACAGTTGTCGACTTCTGCACACTGTGCGCCTCAGCATGCGTTGTCCCCGCTCTGTGATTTTACGTGGCCTGCCACTTCCTAGCTGAGTTGCTGTTCTTCCAAATTGCTTCCACTATGTTATAATTATAATACCACTAACAGTTGACTGTGAAATAATTAGTGGCGAGGAAATTTCTATTGCACAGGTGGCATCCTATCACAGTACCACGCTTGAATTCACTGAGCTCCTCATATATGTGTATGTGTGTGTGTATATATATATATACCTCAGAACATCTCCTGCATGAAGATCCTGAAGAACAGGTGCTTGATGTGAAATGATCAAGAGTGGTGTTTCCCAATATGGTCCTCGGGGATCCCCAAACAAGGCCATGTGTTTGCTTACCAGGAGCTGGGAGAGAGCAAAAACATGAATCATCTGTGGGTCCCTGAGAGCCGGGTTGGGAAATACTGCTCTACTGAAATATGCAGCTGGATAAATGGGTGTAGAGAAATAAAGCAGGGGGCAGTTTGGTGATCAGCACTGTTACTTCAGGATTCAAGTCTCCACCCTGGCTCTGTGTGTGTTTCTTCCAGGTGCTCCAGTTTCCCCCCACAGTCCAAAAACACGCTGATGTTAATTGGAGTTACCAAATTGCCCACAGGTGTGAATGACTGTGAGTGTGCCCTGTGATGGGTTGGTGCCCCATCCTGGGTTGTTAACTGCCTTGTGCCTGTAGCTACTGAGATGGAGTCTCCATAG